GGGGGAAGACAGGAGGAGCGGGGCCTGGGGGGGAGGGATGATGGGGGCCGTGTCAGAAGTGGTCTCCTCTGGCTCACTGTCCCCATCGTCCAGACCTTCGGCAAGGGACGGGATGATTCTGACCACGCTGTCTTCGAAGTGGACCTGCTTCCTCTTGGCCAGAGGGTCAGCTGGCTCCAGACTGAGCTCTGTCAAGCTGTCCGGGGGCTGGAGGACACTGTGCTTCTTAGTCCCCTTCAGGATGCTTTTCATGTGGTTGAAGAAGGAGCCAGGACCCTTCTTGAGGGCTCTGTGGAAGGTATAGGTTTGCTCGGTGTCCCCGGAGCCGGTGGTGCTCACGGTGCTGCCGGAGGGGTCTGTGTACTGCTCCGGGGAGGCGGGCACTGCAGGGGCAGCTTTGCTTTTCTTCCCCTTGCTCAGTAGGAAGTAGGCCAGGCCAGTGACAATGAGCATGGAGCCTGGAAGAGACTGGAGGTCAGCATGCTGGGTGTGTTGTGGAGAGGAGCCAGAGGCCAGGCAAGCCCGCCACTCCTCAGGGCCCCCACAGCGTGGTTCTGTGCAGCCGCACGCAGGCCCCTGTGGTTCCAGCCCTCAAGCACCCCATCAGACCCCAGCCAAGGGGACGTGGTAGGGCTGGTGCAGGGGCCCTCACACTGACCCACCATGGAGCTGGGCCCCCTTGGAAACCGAGGAAAGAACCCCACCTGGCCCTGGAGGATCCTCCTCTAATATCGATGCTCGAGGATACTCCTGGTTGACAGTTGCCCCTGCCACGCTCCCTGACCTCCCAGCAGCACGCTTAGAGCCCCTCTCGGGATGGCTCGCTGGGGCTGGACCTGTGACATCCCCCATAGGTCTGGACTCTGCTTTGGATACAGGGCCTTGGCCCCTGGAACTGGGCTCCTTTCATTCCCAGAAATGGAAGCTGCCATTTACATCAGCCTCCCCAGGCCTCACCCTGTAAACTCAGGAAAATGCACATGGCTGGGTGGGGTTGATGTGTTAGGCTTCCTGTGACCTGTCACCCCAGAACGCTGCCCCTGCCACCCTGCCAGAGGCTCTTTGGGCCTGGCCTGAGGCTGTGCTGTGTCCCTGCATGGCCTGGCCAGGGCTAAGTCCTCTCAGGAGTCAGCTGTAGAGGTCAGGAAGGAGCTTCCTGCTGTCTCAGATGGTCAGGAAGAGGGAGGGGCACGGCTTTCTTGCACAGGGAGGAGGGAGAGGAGGGCGTGGCAGGAAAGGCCGGGACAGAGCCAGGGAGGAGCCCCGAACCCTGGTGCTGCCACCTGAAGCCAGCTGACCAGCAGTGTGCAAGGTGGAGGGGACAGGAGACGAGGTTATGAAGGGCCTTTGGGGTCCCACCATGGGGTGCCTTCCACACCAGGCGGAGTTTGGACCTGAGTGGGTAGGTGCTGGGGCACGGTCGAGGAGTAGCCGTCGCATACCCGCGGTCAGAGAGGGAAGGTCAGGCCCATTTGAGGGTGTAGCCTCTGGAGGCTACGTGAGGAGGATGAGCCCTCAGGATGACCCTGCCATCGATTGGCATGAGGAGGTCTGGCAGGTCTTCCTCCTGTTGTGTGGGTCGGGGAGAGTGGTGGGGCTGCCAGAGACCTCTGGGCCAGCTGCAGTGCAGAACCCTGAGGGGGTGACTCACACCTGAGGCCTGGGCCCGGTGCCTCCACTCCTTCCCAACACTCCTACCTGGGATGGTCACGTGCCAGACCAGGACAGGGTGGAGGAAGCAGGCCACCGACAGCAGTACATAGGCCAGAAACTTTTGGAAGCAGCCCAGCCAGTGGGCCTTTGTCCTTGCTCTACCTGCCAGGGATCCTGGCTGACACCTGGGGAAGGAGGGCATCCAGAGTTAGCAGGAAGCACCCGGGAGAGCCCCAGTCACATGGGCAGCCATCAGAGCCCGGCTGGGCATGGTCTCTGCTGAGGCCCCTGGACCCGAAGGGCTGGAGTCCAGGAGACCCCATGGTCCTCACTGGGTTCCATGATCGGGGCATGTCTGAGCCCCTGCAGAGGGTTCACCATCTTTTCTGCAAGGCTGCCAGCCCTGCTTTTCCAGGCAAGGGGAGGGAGGAGAGTGCTCTCAGATGCTATAGGACAGAATGAGGGGAGAGGGAGGCTCAGTGCCCACTGGGGGTCTGCAGTGGAGCAGAGTAAGTGGCTGGGCTGGGACCACTGTGCAGGGAGCACGCTGCACAAGGGGCTGGCCACGTGGGCGATTGGGCTAGAATCCAGCTGTGCCCTCTTGCTCGCTGTGCCTTGTGGAGGCATGGGCAGCATTGACCCAGAGGCATTCTCTTCTGACTGGCTCATGGGGACCCCAGACCCTGGCAGAGGCCTGGGACTGAGCAGGTTTCTTCCTGGTTTCAAAGGAGGAAGCACCCTTCTGAACTGGCCTAAAGTAGAGGCCAGGCTAGCCTTAGGGGAGGTGAGGGCCTGGGTACCTGTCTAGGAGGCTCCCTCCTTCCACACTGGGCAGCCTGGCGTGCTGTGGCTCACTGGTGCCCCCTGGTGGTCATCCACATGTATGTGCGTCTTTGATGGGGTGGGGGCTTGTGATAGAGTAAAACTGCTCTTCACCTGCAGAGTCCTCACTCCAAAAGGTTCAAGGACCTTGGTAGTGGAGCTCAGCAGTAGCAAGAAAGGCCCTCACCTCAGGATGGAGGAGGGGAGGCAGCCAGTGGCCTCAAATGGGCTGATATTAAGCCTGGGTCTTTCACAGACCACCCGGTGACCCTGTTCTCAGTTGGGGCAAGAAAAAGAGGGCGAGCGAACCTCGTGGACCTGAGCTGCTTCCAGGTAAAGTGCTGGCTGCACGCAGAGGGAAACCCGCCCGTGGCAGCCCCAGGAGTAGCGCCTCTCCAGGTCAGGGCCTGACAGTGGAGCCATCTGGGCGTCAGGGCTGGCATCTGGGGTGGGTGCTGGTGGGGGGCAACCTGGAGGCTACTTACTGGAAGCAGAGGCCCAGCAGCTGAGCCACAAAGTAGGACCCTTCGCACACGGCGACGGCAGCTCCCGTGAACCTGTGGGTGGAGGCAGGTGAGGGGGATGCTCCTCGGACCCTCCTTCTGCCTTCCCGCCAGCCGTCTGCTCATGCCTCGTGGCCTCCTGGGTACCTGAAGCCTGAAGGCTGACCTGCACTGACCACATCAGATGACAGCACCGGGCGCTCTCCATGCCAGGGCCCATGCTGGGCTGGACTTGGGGACGGGGAGGAATGGATGGAGGGTGGGTGAATGGGTGAGCAGGTGGGCAGATGGAGTGGGTGGAGAGTGGGTGGGTGAAGAGGTGGACTGATGGAGTGGGTGGAGAGTGGGTGGGCAGGTGGGCGGATGGAGTGGGT